GATAAGGATGAGGATATGACTGTCTCCACTGAAGGAGGTAGATCTCTCCGTGGGAAAGGAAGTTTGCGTGCCATTTCCGGTACACTGGAACGGCAGGGGCGGGGCTTTCGCTGAAAAAGCTGCAAATCCCTTCGGCTCCCGTTGCTGATCAAGATTTGGCAGAATGGAAAGAGGGTTGATTATGTGAGATTTGGCTGGCAAATTAAGTTTGCCCATGAACGGGAGTCCGTCGATGCAGCAGAATTTGGTGGATACCTGGAGAAAGGAGATAGGTTACTGTAAATCCGCCACGATTAGTCATGTCCTTGAGCCCATAACTTAGTTAACTAGTTAGTTAACTAGTTAGTTAGTTATACCAATAGAGGCATAGCCGCAATTATCACGTGATGACCTGGGGTTCAATTGAGGTTCAACCCGGGTTCAATTAGCCACCCTGGGCAACCTGCCCAGTTCTTGGTAGTTCCTTGGGGCGCTGAAGGTATATAAGGATCTATTTTTGGAGGTGTATAGGGTCGCACTTGTAGATTTTGGTACGAGAGCCTTACGATTTAAATTCCATTCCCAAACACAAACTGGTTTTAAATATATATCTACTGCAGTGCCCTCACTAGCTAACAGTGACAAACAGATATGGGAACGACGGTTTTCTCTTAAAACGATAGTAATACCCAATATGGGCAGCAAAATAAGGCTACATAGTTTGCTTTCCAACTTTGCCTCCCTCCCAGCAAGGCCTGCCCTGGGGAGATGCCTCGGTGGTAAACCAAGAATATGACATACCAACGGATGAAGATAAGCTAACTAGCTAGTCAACACCGCACGGACCTCCTCCGCTGTCTGCCTCGTCCTCTGTCCGAATCGGCGACATGACTGCTGATTGAATGTCTCGTTGGAGATGGCCAGCGCCTATAAGTCTAACATGAAGCACCCGAAGATGGGTACCATTAGCACCCGTCTCGGGGCTTCTTCGCTGTGTTATAGGGATCAACAGCAATTTAGTTTTGTTAGTTATGGCTCTCTCACACGAGTAGCTGACTGCAGAGGAAGCGCTTGTAGAGGACCAAGGCAGAGGGTCGATTGAGATGCTTCAGCTCTGCTCGGTCGAATATCAATGACGAACAGAAGTCTTGAGTACAGTACAGTATCCCACCACAGTCTCTCATTATCAATCGGTGAAAGATTCTCGGTATACAGTAGACAAGAGTCTTCAAGGTCTGGCTGTGGTGCCGAATCACGGCTTCTATTTCGTGGGTATTGCAAAATTGACAAGTTTTAAGTAGAGATGCTAGAAGTCCCGAAGGGAAAGTAAAAGGTAACAACCGACCCCAATTTGCCTTGTTCGGGTCAACCGCCAAATTGTCGCTACAGAGCTCGAAGGCACCGCAGCTGAGGCTTGTTTTGCAAGCGCGACAGTGCTTCTAAACTCGCAAGAGTTTACACGGTCGCGCGACTTCAAGGATCTCCACCCAGCCAAGTCAACAAAGCGTTTGGCGGCAGGCTTTTCTGCAAATATGCGTTGGAGAGCGTCGGGCCTACCAGAGAGGGCAAAAATGCGGGGCGGGCCCACACGCGTGTTGTGGCCTCGAGCGCGAACCCTTGCCGTCCACACACCCGACGGGAGACATCTGGTCGGTCGAACAGCTAATGCGGTGAAGCCAATTGAAAGTGTTTTCAAGCGCGTTTGGTTTTGATGCATTTTTGCAGTAGCTCCACCTCATTTGAATCATCTCAGTCGAATGCTGGATAGCTTCCCATTCGATGGCTTCTAGGGAGAGACAATCGACACAGACCATTTGAGTGTTTTCCAGCATGGGAACAGAAGCCATTCGTGAGCAACGAAAGGTGGACAAGATTTGTCATATCGGATTAGGTATCCCTCTTTACCTGACACACTGGGTAGGAGGTAGGTGCCCCAAGGCCACCAAGTGGTCAATTAGGACGACGACGAGTTATGATATGGGATGATTGATACGCACGCGCACGATCGAAGGAGACCAGGACTGAGGTGGTCAAAGGCCAAGTGAAGTTGATCCCAGTGTCCTCCAAGAACTGCATTGTCGAGAGTTCTAATGTCCGATAAAAGATCCGCGGCCAACCCGACTGCCCGAAAGATGTGCACAGCGGTTGAACCGAGTAAGATGGACTGGGGCGTCAATTCTTAAGCGGCGGACGTGTAGAAAGTGACTGGTATTTTCAGACAAGATGGGTGTGGAGGAGATGGAGCTTGCGACAGCAAATGACGGAATAAGCGGAAGAGTATGATTTCCCACAGAACATGTTGAAACAAACACGGCATGAATGGCGAGCTGGGTCGAAGAAGATGCCAAGATATTAAACATTGTAGAAGGTTGGATAGTAATTTTGGAAAAGTTCAAACTTACTCGGCAAGTGTAACTATGATCATCTATTGAATTCTGGTTATGGCTGTAGATTTGTGTTTCGTTCTGGAGACTAGTAGAGTAATTTGGCGAACGAAAGAATAACCCATCTAGTACCTATGGCACAGAGCCCCCATAGCTGTCGGTGGATGACGCCATTCTTGCCTTGGAGCTAGGTGAATCTATCCCGCGAGCCTGTCAAATAATTGAAGGGTTCTATGACTTCTGGAATCTCAACCCAGTTGGTAAGATACATCCACCCCTCGAGTCTACCTGATAGCGTTTTGCCAAGGCAAGGAACATGTAATATTGTCGGTAGAACAGCTCCTGTCACACCACAAACAGACACTAACTCATCGTAGGGAGCCATTCAGGATTGCGCAGCTTTGCGACCACAGCCGCAGTCAGCCCCGAGGATCTCTTTCTGGATCTTCCAGAGCTTCCCATTCCTTCTCACGGTGCACTGGATGCGGGGGTTGATTGCGAGGAGCAAGGTCAACTATTGCCATGGCTGTCGATTGAGCCGTCGCCAATATATCATGGGCCAACCAGCAGCTTTCCCCTGACTATACACTGTCTTCTCTTCCCTAACTGCGAGGATTGCTTCTTTGTCGAATGGAGGGGACCCGATCTGTTGTCCCCGCTTACATACAGCGAGGATGTTTTTGGTTTCCTTCGCTCCACACTCCCTGGCGGGCCAGTCCGTTGGCTTAGCACAAGACTGTCCATCACAAGTCGGTTTTCGGGCCAGACAGTAGTCGATCTTCCATTCACGATTTCACCGAGTAATTGGAGCGCCGACTCACTAAGCTGGTTTCAGCTACATGTCTACGATACTCTATTACACTGGGTTTCCTATTGGTGTCGGGATGCTAGTTTCGATCAATTTGTGGTGCAATTAGCGATATGGCCGTGGCGAGACCGACAACAGAGAGGCGGAATCGAGCACATGGACAAGAACTATTCAGAGATCTCTCCCCTTGATCCAGGGTTTTTTGTCCACAACATCATCAGCAATTTCTAAAACAAGAATCAACTCTGACTTGTTGCGATAACATGCATCGTATGTAGGGTAGCACCGAGGAAGCCGTATATTACGACTCCGCCATCCTTACGGCAGTATCCTACCATAGTTACCCAAGGAGGTGACCTTGTCTCCTTGTGCTTTATGAATTTCCTCAGTTGAACTTTACCCAGTTGAACAGACTATCTGGCACGAGTGCCGGCTCTTGATGTTTAAACTGGTATTTACACTGCTGCAGCACCCTGGCCGATGCATTTCCGGCTCCTCTTGCCGTTCAAACAAGTTTCGAAAGACCTTTCATCTTAGCTGACCGGATGACTGTATAAAATTTCTCTGAGTTAGATTACACCATCTATGCCATCCCATCAGCCCGCCTGTTCGCCAGACTAAATGCAATAGAGGCACCAGTCGTGTGCTTTCCAGCACTCCATCATCGTGGGTCCCGATGGAGATACATAAACTTCCCAATCACTAATAAAGTCAAGTAGACACGGTTCCTTATCCCTCAGAATTTTTGGACTTTTGGATCCGCGATGAATTGGCTTTCTGGAACAAGATTGTGGCTTCATGCGCGGTATGTACGCCTCAGAGAGAACATGAGTATTGATGGTCTGATGGAACAAATCCTGTCAGGTATAGGAGGTCACATGATGTGTCCATTCCCCACGGAGATGCCGAGAGGGCAGGCCATGAGAACTCATCGTTCAATGTGGCCCCACAAACAACCGAAGTTTTGCGTTGTATACGCTGCCACCGCCGCCGATCTAAAGCCTACCACTGGGAACACTGGCATAACCCCGTGCTATACCCGGCGTCTGGTATCTGTTCACGGAAGAGGACGAAGTGCGCTGAGATTCGAGCTGAGACCTACACCGACAACCGTACGGTCGTCTATGAGCTTCCTGCGACACAGTCACGTACATGGAAATCGGACATATATGCGGCATGAATTTATGCCTGGTACACAATTCAGAAGAGCATTAGCATTTTGGATACTTGGCCACCTTTTCTGTTTAGCAGAACGTATTGCTACTGTAGCAAAGTGCAGATTGCATATTCCAGTTTGGGCAATGACAGTTTGGACAGAATGTTAATCGGCCTGTCATTCATTGCGGTGGCAGACACTGTCAAGCACCCTTGTTGACACTTGTTTTTTGAGGATGTAATGCAGCTGGTGGAACGGCTCGTGACAGCTTTTCTACCGTCAAACGGCTCTAGCTTCTGCACGTCGACAATCGCGCAGGTGTCTGGTAGTTGCTGTTTTTATTTAATCGCCTAACAAGCCCGTACATGAAGCACTCACGATAACAAATAACTCCGACTTCAAAGCGTCGGACGGGAGCCAAGTTGGCATGCCTCGAGGAACCAGAAACCACAGACGTTCACGACCCCGAGCTGCTAAGATCACACAAAGCAAGCAACGCGAGATCGAGAGAGATGAGTATAGGCTCTTTACGTATCAGGAGTCTTGCTTCAAGTGTGTCGCGATTGTTCAACTGTCCGACCTATCCGTTGGGCGTAATGCGAGCCGGCTTATTGAAGATCGGCAGAATGTGGTGCGGCTGAAACGGACTTTGAGATCACAAGGATGTTACCGTATGAGCAAAGCTTTTCATGTGCCCGTTGTGATCGACGCGGTGGACTGGGATGCTGGACGAGTCTGGCTCGAGGCCTCCGCGTTGCCTCCTGATCTGCCATTTGATCAACTATGTAAAAGCCCGGACTACACACTGCTAGCCCTGGATCAAGAAAGTCTCATCACGGCCGCCAGAGCGAGATTCCCGGAGCTAGGTGAAGAAAATCCATGGTGGATAGTGGACGTGTATGTGACTACCTCAGGTCCGTCGACCGCAACGCAAACCCTACTGGCATGGCTACTGACACAGATCAAGGTCAACCTGGATCTCTTGATCAGGAGCTTATTCGCACGCTTCGAGAAAATTTCCACAAAGAACGATTTCCCTGCGACGGGCGCATCTACCAAAGTATTCGTTTCTACCAAGGCGCGACTGGTGGGCGTCGTAATCAAATCGCCGAGAACTTCTGGTGGGCGGTCCTACAGAGCGAGCCTGGCAGCCGAAAAGCCGACTACCTGCGTGCACTTCCTTAACCCCTGGTGGACGGATTCGATGCACTTCTGCCCATAAAGGGCCTCTGGGCCGATATGAGTATTGGTGTTTTGCACAAGCTGAGAGCCATGCGATGTAACGAGGTGATGCTACTCGTCTTTACCTATGTTCGTGTCGTCGATGGAAAGATACTAATCCGATATGTGTATTTAGCCTATAATTTGTTACTTAAACTACATCCAGCGCGTTTTCTATAACCTGGTAGGAGGGCAGGTGGATCTCCTTTCCCAAATCGATGCGATGACGGTTCACCTATTGCAGTCCCGAGCGCCTGGGGTCTCAGCCCGGGACTTGAATTTCCTCCGCCTGAAACAAAATAGACTCTTTAAGTACATCGACTGCGAACGAGACCGTGATGCAATCTGGCAGAGAATGGAGCGGATTCATCTCCCTATCCCGACACTGAAGACCTTCTTCCAGGATATCCTCTTCCTCGATGTCGGACAGAGCGTAATGCGCCAACTCTGTCGTAGCCCTTTAACGGCGACGCGATCAATTGACCAAGCTTTGGAAGAACAATACATTGTAGAATCAGGAGGACTCGGGTACAATCTGTCAAGAATTTCTGGAAGTCGGTTCCGGTCGGGACTCTGGAATCTTTGGCGATTCAGCCATCAGTTCGCTTTCGAGCTGACAACGCAGAAGGACCATCATCGCCGCGTGCCTCGGAAAATGGAGGATATAGAGCGTGCACAAGAATATGGGCTCCATGAAATCCCTATTGCAGAGATGGTTCCCTCTCTCCGATTCCACTTCTTCGGCCTAGCCCGTCTCCACGGGATTCATCCTTCGGTGTCTGTCGACGACACGGAGAGAGCTATATCTGAGATCCCCTTGCAGGTGCAATCCGATTTCCCGCTAGAGGAGGACCAAGATGTGGATCTGGAACGGCGCTGTGGCAAGCCTTTCACCGACTCTATTGAAGCCGACCGATACGCGCTCTCCGAGTCGCTCGCACATCCTACTATCCAAGTACGTGTCAGCGCGGTTTCGGTGCGACAGTCCGTATTTAATGCCTTTTTTTCATATCTCCTTCCCTAAGAGACTATCAGTCAGGAGGGTAGCGATTTTTGGCGGGAATCTGATGCTGGTGTGACTGCGGGACCTGAATCTTTTAACCTGGCACCTGAAACTTACGAACAGGTGCATCCGTCTCCCGTTCGCCCACCTAGGACCCCCGCAAACTTTGAGCCCCTGCAGCCGAACTACAGCCCGATTTTGGGCGATCCTTTCTCTCATTCAGAACAGTTGCACTCTGTCCAGATCACGCACTTCAGATTCGAGATCCCAAGCTTCCGGGAGGGGGCTATTTGGCTTCCCTATAATCGAGGCGCTCTGGACGCATTTTTCGAACATCTGAGTACATATGACTTCCATTTCTATTTTTTTCCAGATGAGGAGAGACCCCTGTCACGCCAAGGAGATAGGACGCTCAGTCATTGGGAATGTGCTTCGCATTACATGTTATTTCCTTTCTCGACTATACGCGCCGTTTACTGTCGAGGATGTCTTCTTCACCCTATTTATTCAATTGGACATGCAATGATAGGCCAACTTCAAGGGAGTGATAGCTGACAATGTGGAAACGTTGGTTGAGGGAGCGATTGAACTTGTCCAGAGTGCTCAAGCCGGCGCCTTTGAATATAATGGAATTTGAGAAGCAAAGCCTAATGCTAGGTCACCGTTCCACACAAAGGGATTGCCCAATGATTTTTGGGAATCGGCCGTGGTAGTTCCAAACTGAATCAGATAGTAAGTGGTTAAGAGCCGTACATAGCTCAGGTGAATCCTACGTCCTGCTTTATTCGGGGTAAGCACGACCCTAGATTCGTGGTCAACATGGGGTCTTGGAGACGATGTGTCTAGTGCAAGTATTTGTATAGTGGCGGTCCGTTAGTATCCAAACCCTAGTACTTCACCAACTTTCTTGCGGGATTTTCTACCTTACTAAATGTACCCAATTTCGATCAAATTTTTCCTTAATTTAGTGCACTAGCTTCCATTCTTAATCCTCTTCTCTAGTGACTTTAAGGGGCATTTGTGTTGTTAATAAATATGCCCAGATCAGTGTAAAGCATCGCAGGGTGGTGCGAAAGGTAGGCGGTGTAGACCAGGTGGTCAGGAGGTACAGGGGTACAAAGACTTGTGGTCAGACATTGTCAAATATGTATTCTGGTACCGTATACGAGTCGGGGATACCGTGGTACGTGACGGGACGCGTTAAGAATCCTTTGAGAAACGTGATATCTCGGGAGGAGTTAGTTCTAAACGCTTGCTTTCATGGCCGCTGTGATATGCGCTATACATGGCATGCTTTCGGACTCTAGTGTTTCGGCAGTTCCGATAACATAGCCTGTGCAAGATCACAATACAACCGGCAAAGATGCTTGCTCCTAGTATACTGCCGAAAATCGCCGCAAGGCTTTGTTTCGAGGGCCGTCGCGACACCCCGCTCCAATCCAACTCAGTAGTGGGGGTTGAGAAAACAAAACTTGTCGTAGATGATAAGGAGCTGATGATAACAAGTGTTGTAGATGATTGCGGACCTGAGGCGCCCTGTGTTGTGTCCTCTTGCGGGGCATTTTGACTTTCTACCTGCTCATGAGAGAAGTGACCAGGTTGGATACCGCCCTCGGCAGATGTGCGGATGAGAGAAGCCTGTGCACGTTCAGTTGGTTCCAAGTCGCCGATAATGTTGTCACTCGGAGGATTATTGCTTCCTGTCGTTGCTGGTAGAAAACGCTCGATGCCAAAGTCGACTTGTGAAGTTAAAGCAATACGGTCGTCGGGGAGAGACCCTGGGAATTTCTGGTGCGTTTCGAGTGTGATTAGGCTTTGAGTTAGGGGGTCGGTAGAGGGCGTTGCGCCGAGGGGACTTGGGTCCGGAGGGCTGGTCGCAATAGATTCCTGGTCTTGGGTGTTGTTGAACTCCGTTGTGCTTGGCAGACCTTCTGGTGATGTTGTTGACGGAGTGAAGTCAGACCCACTACCCGAAGGATTTTCTGAAGGTGCCTCTTCAGTCTCCCTCGTGTTCGGAAGTATCTTGACTTGTATCAGCCACCGTTCCGAGGGGGGCTGGTAGAGCAAGTCGTATGAGCCGCAAGAAAATTACCTGATCAGATACAAGCCTGGAGCTTAGATGGGTGCACGAGAGCCGTGCGAAGTATGCTTGCAGTGTCCGCGACGATGCCTTCTCGGAGGCTAGCCGATGGTATGAAGTTGATACACTAGTAAAGACTAGCCCCTGAGGAGGAGTCGGTACAGAAGTCATTGTATGATATTATCCATAAAGTCTTTCGATAAACCCTTTACTGTTGCAGGAAGTAGTGGGTCCTCGACGATGGATAGGCAACGTCGATCCAAATGGCACAATTGTGGATTTATACTCCTCCCAACATTTCTCTCATGGATGCTTGGATCCTCATAAAACACTTCCATGGATAGAGACTCGTGAAACAGTGAAAAGAAAGGATTTAGCTCAGCCATCAAGAAAGCAAAGGGGGTACGTGCAAGAATGCCGCTTCTATAGTGGCACGAGTCGGCTCGCATTTTATTTAATATTCGCCCCTCCACCCATCCTCTAAGCCCTAGTGAACCGTGGGTTTCGGATTCTGATATGCGACTGGAGTAAGAAACACCATGTCCTATGCCGCTGACTCACTCGGTGACCCCCCCCCTTACATCAGGCACGGTTCGTCCATGGTTTCCCTTTCAGGTGTACTTTCTCATCTAATTATTACAGACTGGATAAGTGCACTCAATATGCCAACCGACGTTGGATCACTCTTGGACCAGATATTGCTCATGGAGAAAAAGATCTCGCCTTTTATAATCGGTAGATCCGTATAAATTCGCTAAATATCTGCAGTCTAATGCGTCTTTACAGCTCACAACACGTAGAGCCAATGACTTTCGACTCTCTGACAACGTCTAGGATACAAGTGGGGCAGCATAGAGTCTCATGGCCACTCAAATCTCGTATCTCCATCTTTCCCTCTATCTCTCCCTCCATCTCTCCCTCCATCTCTCCCTCCATCTCTCCTCCATCTCTCCCTCCATCTCTCCCTCCATCTCTCCCTCCATCTCTCCCTCCATCTCTCCCTCCATCTCTCCTCCATCTCTCCCTCCATCTCTCCCTCCATCTCTCCCTCCATCTCTCCTCCATCTCTCCCTCCATCTCTCCCTCCATCTCTCCCTCCATCTCTCCCTCCATCTCTCCCTCCATCTCTCCCTCCATCTCTCCCTCCATCTCTCCCTCCATCTCTCCCTCCATCTCTCCCTCCATCTCTCCCTCCATCTCTCCCTCCATCTCTCCCTCCATCTCCCTCCATCTCTCCCTCCCGCCCTTATGAGGACAAATTAGAGACTGGCACTTTTCCCCTCTTGGGTCATTGTGGTAGTGTCTTCTGGCCTAGAAGCATACCATGTGATAGATTTAATTGTATGAATGAGAGGGACGAGTAATTTCTGGCCCGCCGAAAGGCTTTATTTAATGACCTACTCCTCGACCAGTCCAAGAAAGGTCATCGCGACCGCCGTGTACTATCTCAACAGAAACCCCCAGATGGATTCCGAATTAATACTTCAACTGACAGCATCGATGGCTGCATCAGTGTGCTGCACATGAAGTTTTGTTCTCTGGCTCCTCTCAGTCAAGGCTATGAGCTGGCAAAAACTGAAAAATGAACCACTCATTGGCACTCAAGTTGTCACGGGTGCTTTCACTGTCCTGGGTACAATTATCTGCGCTCTGTTAGCAATTATGAAAGCAAACTCTAAACGCGTAGGTTGTTCCCTAGGCCATTTCACCTTTCTCTCTAACGAGCTACTAGATCTACCCTGGTCGGTACTACAACTGGAAATAAATATTGTGCTTATGGTGCTCATTTTGAACGAGGTGAGGTTGATGAAATAGAAGAAGGGCAATCCTGACGTCTGCAAGTATCTATGCGTGTCTACTCTACAACACTGGGTCACCCATATGATAGCTGCCTTATCATTCATGGGCGCAATCACAATTCTGTCACTTGCCATCTGTTTTCTGGTGTGTTTCAATTTATTACTCTGCATGATGCCTGTGTTTTATTGACCGAGAGATGCAGGAGCAGCGGAACATTTTGTTTAGCTTGTATATGATCATTTCTTTTGCCGGACTCAGCTTCATCTATGCGCAAATTATTAGAGCCTGGGTCATTTTCGTGAGGCCGTGGCATATAAACGCAAGCACATTCAAACTGTTTTGGCACTATCCGTGCCCCGCGGCTTCTAGGCAGGAACGAGCCTTGTGGGTGGCGTCCACTGGCTCTGTTTGGTTGTTTGTTATTTCGTTAGGCTTGACAATTATTGCCTGTGTTCGAACCAATCTGCAGACTCAAATTGTGACGGTAAATATCCTCGCCCAAAGATCATCACAAGTTACTCACACGTTGCATAGATCCAAATTGCAGTAACATGCCTCAGAAAGATGGCTACTTCATCTTGCCTTCTTCTCCCTCCGCAGAACAACCCGGATGTATCACATTCACATGAAAGCGCGTTAAAAGAGGATAAAAATTCACAAAAAAGCATGAGGCTGTGAGAAATTGTTGGCCAATGACTGTGCATCCTGGATGCTCTTGAGCGCCTTTTCCGGTGCACACCATTACTGTTGCATCTCGAGCGATTGACTTTGCTGAAGTACACCGATGGTAGTCAGGTTCATTAAATATTATTGGATAAATAACACCATCTTCTCCACCTACCAACTAGTGGGTCAATCAGTGACAAAGACCAATCAAATGCTGGCACAAGGCAACCAAGCAACTACAGTGACGCTTAAGTTTGGATGTCCCCTTCTAGAGAAGCGCTGCAGGCTGAAGGACAGCGAGAATAACAGTATTTATTGTGCAGAAAGCCTTGTGCGAAAGGCTTCCAATGGGCTGGTTTTGTGAACAACTTCATATGCTATCTTTTTGCGGACAAGGTGGATCCCATCGTGAGCGTTCTCGTCTCGCGCCTTTCTTCCTCGCTAGCCAATGTGCCTGTGAGCCCAATGGGACTGCGAGCTACAGTTATGAGAACAGCGAGGAGCGGAAAATTTGGACTGAAAGACTTGTATTCTATATGGACTGTCGTCAACGACCTGGTGCCCATATGGCTACTCAGCCGTATGTATTAGCAGCCAATTGAATGTCCCTTCTCGTGTAGCCTCTCTGAGCCTAATCGCTGGCTCCAAAGCAACCCAGAGTTATGTAAGCTGGCTCTCCAATCATAACTGATGTCTCGCTTGACCGCCAACGAAGAAGGTACTGCAAGGGCGATCCTACGCATCCGATGTTTATATTTGTCACTCTCCAGAACAATTTCCTTAGGGGATTTATGAAGCATGGACAGGAAAGTACTGAATTGGGTAGCTTGGAGCAAAAGTGATTAATAAGCAAGCATGAGAGGGAAAAGGTTTTCATTATCAGCGTCACGGCATATCCTGGTATTTTTCCACATTCATTCTTTTCGACTAAGACATGCTGGCGTGCTAGTACGATACATCAAGTGCATTTCGGATGATGACGATGTGCTCTGACCTCGGAATATATATCCTGTCCGAACGAAACTGGATCAAACTCATATCCCCTGCAGCAAGCCAATCGTCAGGTAAAAAAATGTGTCTCTGAACGGGATGCTCCTCATTAGAAGAATCAATCCAAGTTGAACAGATCCAGTTTTCCTTGTTCAGAAAAATGAGACGGTTACCTGGGACTTGCACCATGGCTCCTTCGCTGCTTTCCTGGGAGAGAAATCCCAAAGGCATGGCAATGATATCACTGAGACTTTCAATGAGCGGAAAAGGACATACAACGCCATGTGATAGAGCAATCTTGTCGTTTAATTCCCTCATGGGGATCTGCAAAAACTGGGAGCCGCTTATGGATTCTTTGGTCTGACGTGTTGTGACCAGCAACAACATGGATGCGTCTGGGGAAGACAAAACTCTCTTGACTTGGCATGTTGCCGAGGTCGGATGTAGCGTCATACTCGACGGTTCAGTTTTCACATAATCCAACAACCCTAGGCCAAATGTTAGATATGACATGGAGTTGTCCAGTGAGATGCTGGATACAGTCAAGTGATTGTGCCACTGGTAGATCAGGACGTTGTCAGGGCCCATCCCAAGTATCAAGCCATCTTTTGTGGGGTGATTGATCCATCTGCTATGGCTCCCTAAAGAGTGATGACTCGCTTTCATATTGCCCGTGCCAAGATCCCAAGTCAGCATGTCGTCTTTCGTGACCACCAGAAGAGCCTGGGAGGTTCGTTGGAAGAGGATTTGTTCTACACACGACTGCAGCCTGATTGGGGTCAATTGATTGGACCTATACCTTTCATGGTCCATTGACATGATAAAGACTCGGGCACCTAGGTCCACAATCGCAAGATATTGCTCATCAGGGCTCCAGAGAAGGCGCTCGATCCGTACCCTGGTGGGTAGGTCCAAGAAAGACCCTGTTCCGTCGCGAAATATCACTCGGATTTGCCCATTCGCATAGCCAGCGCAGTATGCAGATGATCGTTCACATGTTGCCAAAGCAGTGACAAAGGAGTCATCTTGAGTCAGCTGAGGGCCTTGCGAGAGGTATCCTGATGAGAAAGGGACTTGGCCGCGTTGGTGGGAGGCCATCGTCGCAAGCAGAGAAGGTTCCCAAACTATGCATTTGGAGCTTTGGATGCCATAGACTTTCCCGCCCCCCGGTGCTACGGACAGCGCCAGAATGCTGCTTTCGGATCCGCGAGCATGATATAATAGCGCTAGATCGTGTATTCGTCGGACTGTGACTGTGCCCGCCATATCACCAGTGACGAGAAACTCTGACGTAGCATTGTATGACATCACGGACACCGTGTCAATACATGTCGCTATTGGTGCATGGCGGAGAAGGTCCAATATCCTCAGACATCCATTCCCCTGGCGGACTATTAACCTGTCCGGCTGCGGACACCAGCAAAGCTGAAGTACATCGCTTTGCGGATAGGACAATCCTCCGAGCCTCTCTACACAATCAAAAGACTGAATATCCCAGACTTCTATAGGATCACCGCGGAATCCCACTGCAAGAAAGTTTGTTTGATGGTCAAAAGTGGCACAAGATGGATTTACCCAGTGACTCGCCGTCTCACGATGTGCTCCAAGATCGATGGTTTCGCAATTCTGAGCAGAACCGTCTAGTATCACCTTCCGGAGGACGTAGTCATCAGAAAACATGAATATTGCGCAGTCATCCTTGGCAAAAGCCAAGGCTAGGACAGTCGTATTTGGAGTATTGCTAAAGGTTTCAGAGGGCCGTTTGGTGGAAACGTCCCATAGCGTAGTCATTGTAGGGCCATATGTTGCCAATTGATTTCCGGACCGACTGAATTGAAGGCCCATCACACGCTCACGGTGGATGAGTTCACAGTTTGAGTTCATTTTTGGCGAATCATATATCAACACCAGACCTTCTTGTGTTGATGTGGCAAGGGCGACTTTTTTTCTGTACAGGCGAGTGCCATACCGCGGCAACCATGCTCAATGGTAAATGCCGCGAGATAATTATCCCATTCTAAAAAGGGGAATCCGTCCACGGAAACACTCGAAATCCTCGCGAGTGGCCTGATAAACGACTTGAAAGGGCAGAAGAGAGGGATTAGTTCAAATATCACTTCTGGATTGCTGAGCAGAGGGCCGGAGAAACGCTCAACTATCATGCAAAGATCAATAGAACATCTCTCAAGAAATGTGATTTGTTCAGGTAGAACAGTATTGCTCCTCAATTGAGCTATGATGCGATTGATTGACAATGACGCCGCAGTCATATACTGGAGCTCTTTGGAACGGGAAACCGAGAGGATCCAAGACAGAACGCCCTGTCCTCTGAAGAACGCTACCAACAGGCTCAGAACTGGCTCTTCTCCACTGATTTCGCATTTCTCAAGATGACAAAACCAAAATGACCTCGCGTATTCTTGAAACCCGAAGTCTTCCTGTGACCTGGAACCGGTAGCAGCGAAAGCATTTAGACATGAGAGACAGCTCACAAGGATCGAGCGATGGGCCAATTTCCGATCAACATGTAGGACAGACCCCTTGTCCAAGATGAACTGATGCGCGGTTGTGTGCATGAGCCTGACTTGAGATTTATTGTCAACCGTAACAAAGCGCCCGCAAACTCGGGTGATGGTCAGTTGCAGGTCGATAAATTCCACGCCCAGACACTTAATTCCGTGATGCAATTGATCAATTGTCAATGGAACAAATGAGTGCAGTATCCACGGCATCAGAACCTGGGCATCGTCGTGGTCGTCCGTTGTCCACCGAGCTTCCAGTTCCATTTCCATTAGTTCGTAGTAGGAAGCAATGCCTTGAGGGGCCTTGTTGAAGACACTTTGCAACCGCTCCTTTCTTCGGCAATTCTTGATCTCTTTATATAGAAGGTGGGCGCATAGATAGTTTCCATCGGAAAATTTGAGGATGCGAGTTGCAATATCCGATTTTAGGTCACCAAGACCGCAGAGATTTTCAACTCTTTCCGTGACGACCAGTTGCAGATCATTTCTCACACCGTCAAGAAGTCTTAAATCCAGGGCCTGAGGCTCAAAATCCTCGTCAGACTTGTACAACAGGTCGATAGGCTGATCTATCTCACTAGCGACTAACAGACGCAAGGGAAGACCAACGGCCGAATGCTCCTCCAACGCCGCAAGGAAGGATCCTGGATCATGGAATTTGTCTATGTCGTCGACTACCAAGTAGGTTGCAGACCTTATACCGACACTTAGGAGACTTTCAATGAGAATTCTCCAAAACGTGTACCACGAAGAGCAGTCAAAGCCCACTCGCTGCTGCGTAAGTGGGTTTGGAATCTGCTTTAGCGAAGGCAGCAGAGTTGATAGTTGGTCTCGCAAAGATCTGAGGAGGACACCTGGTGATAGAGAGGCTCCTAAGGAAAGAGGAGCAGAGAAGAAACATAAAGTACACCTGAGCCGCATACTGAGTTGCTTTGCGATGAAGGCGGATAGCACAGACTTTCCGCTCCCGGGTGGTCCACATAGCGTAAGTGTTCTAGGCCTGCTTTCCTTCGCATGCATCCAGGATAAGAAAGTTTTGTCTGAGAAAATCCATTCGCAAGTCCCGGGTAACCAAGCCGGCAAAGACGCGAAGCTTTCTTGGTCATGATAGATCTCGTCTTCCAAAGTTTGCCTGCTATCACTGCTTCGGTGTTTGCCTCTAAACGGTCTTCGGGTAGCATCAACAATCAGCTTCCTTATAACGCAAAGAAAAGCTAAGTAGTTTCCATCACGACGACTTCGATATTTGCAGATCATGTGGTGGTCAGTATTGAGTGGCATGATCATTTCTCCCGGGTGACCTAAGGTTGCGGAGGCCTTCTTGACAACCATCTCGGACCTGTCAGTATTTTTGTATTGAGAGACAAAACTAGGCGAACTTACAAGATTAGTCAGAGGAATTCCACGTGTCTCGCAAAACGATACAATAGCAATATCAGGTAAGTTTTCACGGAATCCTCTATCGATATCACTTAAGACACTAGAATCTGAGCGGAGTTCCGTGATATAGGGCTTTGAGAAGAACCCGAGGCTCATTCTGCGAATCGTGTCGTCCACGAGATCCGCAACTTCAGAACCATGGTGGGGAGTGGCCAGGAAGATCATGGCATATGTGGAATGAACCAAAGACTGGTATGTAAAGTCCTTGATGCCATTATTACAAGCCTAAGAGGCAGTTAAGCAGGGGAATACTCAGTATGAGACATATATAAAAGAAGAGGCATACTTGCTCCGCAACCAGGCCTCCCAAGGAATGGGCAACCATAATGATAGGGATCTATGGGAAGTAAATGTAAACTCAAGCACCGCGAAAGCAACGTACATGATGATGATGATACACACCTCACCAAAAGGGATCTCTCCGGTAAGCTCATTTGCGGCAACCTTCACCCGAGCAAGGAGCTCCTGCGAGAAGTCATCGATGCAGGAAAAGTTCTTTGTAAATGCAGGCCAGATGCTTGAGTCGTAACCGTACGTTGTTATGCGCACGTCAGCCAGGCCCGGTTCCTGGTGCAGCCACCCTGGCCAGAAAAGCGCCAGATCCTTTTTATAGCTCCAAGTATAATGACTCCGGCCGCCGAGGCCATGGATGAAGATGATATCTACTACTGGTTTGCAGTGCCCCGGGCTGTACACGTTTGTCAAGCCAAGAGAATTTGCCATTTTTCTGCTTAGTTGGGGCTGCTTGTGATTCGGAAGCTCGGGGCGTTCGCTCGACATCTTAAGCGTCATTGAGGTTAAGAAAACGGATACGGTCAGTATTGATCAAACGCCGTGATTCAGGACAAATAAAATATATAATGGACAGATACATAACATCTGAGCGGACAACCTGCTGATTTATTTGGTTGGTATTTTGGGATGGTGAGCACACCATCCGCTATAATTAGGGACATGACTTTAGGTTGCTAATCAGACCATGTTCCTGGTTTCCCCTCACTTAACCTCCAGTTCCTGCATGAGGGCGCCTAAACAGATACCGTTGGGTGGGCGGTGAAGACGTATAGCCAATCTCATTGGTTCAGATTGTCTCCTCAGATAGTGTCTCGTACGCATGCATTTCATCACAAAATGGGCGGCTAATGATTGGCACTCCGTACGTGTCACATGCAACCAAATTTTGGGCTCAGACAGCAGACACCACTCCGATAATTATTATAAGGGCTGCCTATGTTCCATTTCAATTCTAGTTGGCACATCGGTCTTCTTCACTTCCAATCTCTCTCTCAAAGAATGAACGAAAATCCTATTATCTCCCTCGAGAGGGCTGTACATGCATGTAAGCACTTGTGTTTCCTTCATCCCTCTCCAGTCTCCTGCAGGTCCTGATTGCGCAGGTTTCCCGCCAGAGCAACAACAGCTTCAAGTGGTCGCAGCACGCCCGTATGGCGCATCGTCAAGGGGCCGGACCGCACGAGTTACTGCGCGGCTACCTGATGCCTCGGTGAGAGAATTTTTTTGCGAGTGAGCGGCCTTTCCCCGCATCCGCAGCTCTGTGCAAGAGTGCTCTATACTCACTCTTATTATTATTCCTCTCTGCAGTGCATCAATTCCTCCTCTGATGCGATAATTAAAGCGGAATTCAATTCCCTCCTGAGCCTCTACAATGGAAATCCACATGTAGTGCCGAGACCGCATAAATGGGGTAAGATTCAAGACGAAAATAACGGGGCCAAGAGACAAGAGACAAGAGACAAGAGACAAGAGACAAGAGACAAGAGACAAGAGACAAGAGACAAGAGACAAGAGACAAGAGACAAGAGACAAGAGACAAGAAAGAGAGAAAGAGAGAACGAAGGAAAGAGAGAAAGAACCAGACCAGGACCTGGTGAATAAATGGGTTGGTCGAGGAACCCAGCAGATCATAGCAACATACTTCATCGTGTGTGACTTTGTTCATTTTTCCCCCTACCTTCCGTCCCCTGCCGACCTGTGTGCGCAGTTGGCACATATTAACCAGGTCTCAGCGACGACAGGCAAATTCGGCAGCGATGTCCCACACTACCAGGCGGGGTTCTCCTTTGAGCCAGCGTCGTATAGTTACTGGGCCGATTGTTTTACCTCTTGGATCACAGAGATCTTTGACCAGGATACTGCTGTAAATGGACAGTGGCCTGCGTACGAAGCAGCCTTCAAGGACTTGATTTGCAAGACAATCCCGAGACTTCTTCTCCCTCTACAGGAAAATGGGCGCAAGATTATCCCAGTCCTGGTTCATGGCAACTTGTCTACCAATAATTTAGGCATCCGTCTTGCTGACGGAACGCCAGTGCTTTTCAGTCCCTGTGCGGCGTATGCTCATCAGGAATTCGAGCTGGGTGTGTCGCAACTTGCAATTGGAGGACTGGATAAGACGTTCGTCGATCAGTATCTGAGGATGGTCCTGCCGAGTGAGCCGATCGATGAGGTCTACCATCGGATTATCCTCTATGGCGTCCATTTCAACCTACGACTCTCAGCCTCACATGCCGGACAATTTAGAGAAAGGTATGTGAGATCAACAGTGACGGTGGTTTGTCCATCACAATAGCTAATGCACAAAGCAGAATTTATACTGATATGCTATTTCTAAATGGCATGTATGCAGAGAACTAAGAACCGACAGGGGACATGTATGGGCACCAACATTGTCTCTTCGCAGCCACGCGAACATGCAGTGGTGTTAAACCGTGTACCTCCGAGCCAAACGAATATCAAGCATCATTGTAACATTGTTTGGAAAGGCTTAACGAGGAACGGATACATTCTTAGCGGTGTTAACATCACTCCGGGATGTCTCAGGCCTTTGGAGCCTGGGCAAATTTCCCAGGGACAGTAATGCTCATTCCCAGAGCACTGGTAGACTGTACAATTATGATCCTGGTTGAGAAATGTGTTTCCGGAGCAGACCGTGAGAGTGAGCATGAGGTTCTCATGATCGGGGTTGTCGAGACATGTGTATGCCTTATTACTCAGGCAATATTAGCTCTCTCTTCCTTTTCCCGAAAAATGTTTCAGCCCTTCCGAACAGATGGGTAGTGTTTATTGATTATTGATCACGATTTTGGTTGTTTGATAGTAGCCGTGACGTTAAATCGGTTATCGCTTTGATGGCGATGGCCAACGCTTAGAATGAAGATATTGGTTAAATCTTTCTTCTCGTCAAAAAAGATTTAATAAAATGAATATATAAATTCAATGTGTTCGATTGTATCAAAAATACATCTTTCCAGGGAGAGACCACCTGTTGACCATCGTCTCAACGCCGCTGTAAATCATATTTGATTGGATGATGGCCCACCATAACTGGACACCGTGCATTCCCTAATACCTCCCCCCTTCCCCCTCACCACCCAAAAATCCACCAGCATATTTCAACCAGAACCAGCAGCCCCACAACTCGCCTCCCTACTGTATGCTTTTCGTGATTCCCAGGCAAAATAGAATAGATTCAGTCTCTTCTACAATGGCCATAAGGCCCTCCCAGTACGGTGCGCTGAACTGCTCAAGCCCTGTTAACAGCCCCAAGCCCCAAGTGACAGGGCTCCCCGCTGCTTATCATCATGGGAGTTGGTGAGAGTATTTTTGATCCATAAATAGTGATTGGTGCGGAAGATCGCCTCGTGGAATCCGACTAATAAACGTCTTGACGTGCGTTCAGGAGCTGTTTTGTCTGTTATATAACTATGAAAACTAAAACTTCACACTGTATCGCATGGGGCAAGAAGATGAGGCTGAATTTAAGGCTCTAGTACCCCCAGCCACATGCGACGTCGAACTAAGGGGCTGGGCCAGTGGACGCAACTTCCTAGATACCAATCATTTAGCGCCGAACTAGGGATAGCCAGCCTTTGAACAGAGGCCAAGTGTTTCTAATGAAATTATACTAGCTAATCAATATGGAGCTCCCTGGTTCAGCGGCCCTATTTTGGAGGGCTTGGTTGCGAGTGGAAGCGACAAGGGATTGACGGGCGCGATATTACCAAGAAGGGCATAAGTAGCTCCATGTAATCTCCTTATCGTCTCTTGAGTCTAGTGTCAAACCGCAGCCCCTCACTGTATGCTTTTGACGCCGGTTTTAAACGCGAGTCCTCTCGACGTAGTCCTTTCAAGCCAAACAGGAACATCTGAGCTATGGTGGCTGCTTTTTATCAATTCATACCAGATATCTCGATTATCGAAGTGAGCAAGTAAAAGGAGCAACTTCGCTGCGTGTGGGTCCCGCTTCTGGATCTCATAGTATAAGATCATCCATGTTTGTAGCAAATTACCTTGTTGGTACTGGCGTTCAGGATTTGACTGCAGCTGTAACTCGGACCAAGATTCTTAGTAATACTGCAAGTACTCGGTTGTGCTGGTTCCAGTCTCACGTATGAAGGCCCCGGCGATGACGATTGCCAATAGAAGTCCATCTAGACGACTAGCTAGAGCAAGGGGATCTATTAATGTTAGTATTATCACTCGGATCTGTATATGAAAGGACTTGGTACCTGGATTGCTCTCAAGTTCGCTAACGGTATCTCTAGCTGATAAACGGGTGCTTTGCGAGAGTAGTTGCATTGTATCCTTGGTGTCCAGTCTGTTAAGCTGAAAAGACTTCCCCAGCTCAGCCAACCTTTGGAGCCGAGATATAAGAAGAATGGAGCCATGATCGGCAGTAGGGAAGAATTCTCCGATATCATATGCATACCCGTAGCGCCATTAACGGTGGAGTATTGATCGATGTTGTCAAAAACGATTAACCAGCGCGAGTTTCCGTCTAACGCTAGCCAACGTAAGACATGCCTAGCTCGTTGCTCCACCTCCTCATCATAGACTGCCTCATTATTCTGAGACTGTCCTGGTAATCGGGGCAGGATAGTGCTCAAAGATTGCAAGAGCATGCCTCGATCCTTGCCACCTAGCCAAAAAATGGCAGTAAAATCGTCCTTGTGTGCGACCGCGAAGCGAATAGCTAGCTGCGTCTTCCCTATTCCCCCAAGCCCATGGAGAATCGCAACTTTTCGTGACCGGGGATTTGTTGGCTGCAAATACTGCCATAGCTGGTCTAGCTCAGCTTGCCGTCCTAGAAAATTTTCAATCACTGGCACACCAGTAAGATCTAACGGAACGCCAAAGCGATAAACTAAATATATAAAGGACTATTCAGCAATGTTTTCTAATCAGATAAGGAGTAATATTGCTTAAGACTTAGCGTCTCTTACCAGAGTCTGGTAGAGTATCTCGTGCCGTTGGGGTACGGTGGATTTTATCGGTTGGGACGACCAAGAGAAGCTCCTTCGCATAGGCCGCCGCGACGGCTGCCGCATATCCTTGCTATGCTTTATTCTTGTGTGAGTCGGCATAGTGCAGAGATACCTTAATCCATGTCTCACAATGAAAAAATGGCAGTTGCCACCCTCAGTCTTAGTTCTCGAGCCTCCGCGTGCTGCCCAAGTTTGTCAAGTAATCTACCTAGCAGACTAGCACGATGGATCGAATCGGGATGGTTTTCTCCCAGTAATTGTTCCGCCTCCTTTAGTCGCGCCCTTGCCCAGCTCACCAACTCCGGGTCTTGTATGATCTCGGACTGATTTTGCTTCTGTAGGCCCACCGCTAGCGTATCGCAGTGACTTGGCCCATTGATTTTCTCTATAATCGCTCGCTCTATCTTCTCTCTATAAGAGCCGGATCCTAGCGTTGGTTAGCCATCGTTCCTATTATGCTAGGAGCAAGCTATTCATACCGTTGCTACGGCTGAAGATGTTTCTCTGAGTCCGTGCCAATGCGGAAGGTATCTGATTGCCCAACGGAGATGGTGCGTCTGCTACCTGGACCGTAGCTTGATCATTCATCTTTTGGCCTGTAAGGGTGGCATTCGGAACGCGGATAGGCAAAGAGGAATGGGTGCCATCCATCTCTCCTATGCTTTCATACTGCCGTTGATGCACCTGGCCAGGGACATGAACCTCCCCTTCGACTGTTTCCAATTCTTTGACATCACACTGCGTGCAGGATGGTGTTGTGAATGTCGTACCGCAACTATCACAGAGCTTAACGGTGACAGTCTGTCTCGGGTGTGGCTGACTGGCACCACACTGCGTGCAGAATGGCGTTGTGACTGTTGAACCACACTTATAACAGAGCTTGACGGAGACAGTCTGTTGTGGGTGTGGCTGTTTGACACCACACTGCGTGCAGAATAGCGTCGTGACTGTTGTACCGCAGTTATCACAGAGCTTAACCGAGACGGTCCGCGGTGCGTATATCTGTGTCTCTCTATTGTAGCCCTGACCTCTTACCTCACCCCTAGGTGGGTTGTGAGCAGTGGCGTGTTGCTGCATTTGCAGGATCTGGAACCGCTGCCCGATGCCTTTTATGCACGCGGAAGATGACCACAGCGAGCCCTGCGACAGTGGCTACACCCTAGGTTGCAGCCGACGGCTATGCCAGTCATAATACCGCTCGATAACCCGCCACCGATGACGTCGTAGTACACGGATACAGTGGTTAAGGGTGAGGTTGACGAGACGATAGTAGGACGGGTGGCAGCGGTTGCGTAGATCACCGTAAACGTCCCGTTCTCCGCGGGAGAGTGCCTCTAGAAGAATTGTCACTAACGCTAAACCAAGAAATATTTCGAAGATTCTTACATATTTTTTTCTGAGTGATAGTTCAACGCTGATCGGCAATACCTTCAACAAAGTACAGACTGCCCGTATTATAGCGCAGCCAACCCCAGAGATAGAGAAAAGCATCGCCCCGGCCACGACATCAGCTAGGAAGAGAGAAGTACCTAGCTCAGACCACAAGGCAGATGAAGCAAACCTAATCGGGTTAGCGTGGCAGGATTGGCAAAATTCTGTCTTATCATTGGCTGTGTTCTAGGGGCACTGAGGAAAGCCCCCATATCTGTGCCTTTGGCCCACCACAACGGGAAGCGGTGTGGGGGCCAAGGGGGACAAATCAACCCGTTTGTAAACGCCCATGTAGTCTCCAACAGCTCTAGAGAAAGGGGAAGGCTGTTTCAGTGTGTAGTGTATTATTGATGGATTTAAACATCGTTCACATCCAGTTCGACAGAGATTCCCATCCTGCGAAAATATTAGGAAACATATTGCAGAGCACTGTCCGATGGCAGTCTGACCGGACCGACAGGTCGAAGTGGGAGAACCACCAAACGTAGAAATCGTGCTGAAATACCAAGTAATGAAAACAAGGTACTACAAAAAAGAAATCAAATACGCGATTCACCCTTGATGTGTTCTTGCCCGGGTTGTCCTCAAGTATAAACCAGTGCGCAGAGGCCTGGATGTCTCAGGAAACAGAACCCAATCTAGTGCAGAACACGAAGCAGCTGATAGGTAAACGAGTGTTCAATCAATACCGTAGTTTTTGGCGTGCTCTCACTCAAAACACTCTGTATACCGCCGCCTCCCTTTCCACTACGATATGTACCAGGCACTAAGTTATATTACTTCAACTTCTGCCAGAGACTATCATGTAAACACGCACGAGCTCTGGTAGACATGTTCGTTTACGGAGCACCTCGCAACTTCTCATCTGACTTTCCTCCCCTCGGCTATTCTCTGCCTGACAAAATTATCGTGATCAAAGGTGCCATTTTTCGCCACCAGAGGAGGGCCTCTGCTCATGTCCGATAACTCCTCTAACCACGGGTAGGTAGATATTAGCTGTGGACTGCGAGAAAGGGAAATGATACAGCCGAAAGGTGATGTACTACCTGGTGGCCGCGAAGCAGAAGGTATGTTGCGGTGATCGTCGGCTCTTTCGTGTGGCCTGCTTGGGATCTTATCGCCTGTCCAACCAGAGGCTTGCTCCAGGCTCAGGTTGACTAAGCGCAGATCTTCGCTGATGTTTGGTCGCGTCACGTGGTCCACTTCCATTTGGATGAATTCGCCCGTATATACTGCAAAAGCATCAGTGATCGAATGCAAAAAAGGGCGGAGAGGAATGCAGAAGAAAAGTCAGCCTCATGTTTTATTGGAACAACATCATTCACGGCGACATCTGTGCCAGGGCACCCTACCAGCGATTATCATCTTCCCACATTGGCTATCAATGTACCCCTCGACCTCCCTCGCTGCGATGAGGTCTTCGAATAGAGACTGAATACGCCTTGATTGCGGAAATCGCCCGTGGGACTCCTGAGGAGCATCTGGACAGTAGATCCGCATTTGTAAAATCTGCGAGTTGTTAGCGGCACGACCACTCAGAAAGCGATGCCCGCTTACGTCAAACCCTCCGGTCCCATCAAGCCCCGTTTGCTGCTGACCCATGCTCGCTGAACTAACCGAGGCTTGCGTATCCCCAGAGTTCAGGGCAGGATTGCGCTGTCGGTCGAGTTCAAAAAGATGCTGGATGCTGTCCTAGACCCACGACTTATATCTGGACCGCTCAAAGATCCCTGGGACATGATTAGCCGAAACAGATGCTTCAACTATTCTGGGCTCGACAAGAAGCTCCAGTTCAACGATACTGCTCCAATCCACCGCCCACAGAATCTCCAGCTTCCGCACCACTGTCTCTCTCCTGCGACTGCCATGAACCAGCTGTTGAATGAAGGGCAGAATTCGAAACAGGCCGATATCTTCAACCACAAACAAGACCGTGCCGTAGTTTCCAAAGTAGGGCGGGTGTCCAAAGGGTCCGAACATGAAGACCGGGAAGCTAAAATTGGCCTTCACCGCCTGTAAAGCGAGTCTCTTGGTGAGACCTCGGCGGTAGTGCACGAGAAAGTGTAGACGGCGGTTGGAAGTGTGAGAGCCAATATTTTGCTGTTGCTCTTCTTCTTCTCCCACATACGCCACATAGAAAAGCGGCAGATGGAGCCAAGAGCGATACCCCGATCGCGGCATCCACAGTTGTACATGCTGACCGGCCTGGATATTCCACTGTCGGGGTGCCGAGATCTCGAGCCAGAGGAGTTGTTTGGATACTCTTGCCTCAGCTTGGAGCCGGACGTCTTTCCAGGACCGAAGCGCGCTCATTGTTTGTGCCCACAAAGCCCCACATGACATGGCCCACTGGCCCGCCGCGCTGACCAACACCCAGAAGTAGACTGATCCAGCAATTCGCAGATGGTATGCGAGGAACGCTGTGCCGCAGATTGCCAACAGATAGTGAAGTTTGAGCATAAGCTGAGGATGGCGTCGCAGCATTACGGCAAGTGTAATTGGTAGCATTGCAAGAAAGCTAATCAGTGCCTATATTCCATAAGCTTCTTGAATGTGGCGCCTAACGGAAAACGATGAACAAAGAGATTTAAATAATTACCCCGAATGCGGTCAAAAGAGGACCTGATAATGGTGTCGACCGTTGGGCGAGTTCTACTATCATGGTGCCGTGGAGGGCGCAGTGGACAAGACATACCCGACCCACCCAGCGGTGGACCCACGCCAGGGTATCCCGGCTCAAGCGATAGAGACTGGATATCTGGCTGAACGTGGGCCCGGCAAATAGTGGAAACAAGTAGATGACGGCCATTGAGCCAGCCCTCTTCTGCACTTCGGCAAAAGAGTGAGCGGCAAAGACCAAAACAACGACATTCGATGCCAAGAGGCCAGTCAGTAGGAGACAATGTACATATGACAGGATATCTAGACGATATAGGATGCTGGGCACTGGGGACTGAAGGAATCGCCTCCAAGAGACCGCACGTTGCAACTTCAGGGACCAAGCTAGACAATCCCGTCTAATGCGATAAAGCAGACAAGCCAAAAGGATCAGAGCAACACAGAGACCATACTTTCCAGGGAGGGAGACCCTTGAGAGCCAGTGAGCGAGTTTAACGGAAACTGGGGCCATAGTGTGGTCGCACGAAGGTATTGCCGGAAGAGAAGGATGTTGATGCTTTCGATGCTTTTATATGAGGCCTTCGTTTGTTTCGGTTTCGAGTCAAAGCCAAGCTTGCTCGTGACACTCCGCTCCGCTCTCTGGGGCTGCTAGAAATCTCTATCGGCGAAGACTGCGCGTGATGCATTTACAACTGAAATCGGGTAAAGAGACGTGCCATGATAAGCCCACCAAGTCTATCAGCCTTCGAAGCCTCATGAAACAGCCGTATGTGGAATAGAATCATGAAGCCAACCAACTGCGGTGGAATGATCCATGATATTTGGGTAATTGTCGTCTTCACTTCCACATGCCAACGGCAATTCACTCCGACCGGCAATCCTTCTGAAAGAAATACACACCACAGAGTTTCGGGGACGAATCAGTGCATGCAAACTCGCGATCATTCTATCTTGTCATGAGTGAGGTCATGCGAAATATTTTACGAAGTGTGTCAAATGTTGGGTTGCACAGAATATGTTTGGAAGATAATTTGTAGAAAGAACATTTGACCGGTGATGGTTTACGCTAACCCACCATTTACAGACAGGCTATATACTATTTTCTGTAGAGCTAGATCCATGAATTTCGGGACCGTTGGATACGAATAACCCTCCACTCTCGCTTCCAATTTTGTTCTGCCTTAAGCTCTCGCCGTTTAGATTCGTCCAGCGAGGCCTTCAAAGCTTGGATTGCTTGCAGCAGGCGGATGTTGCCCACTGGATTCACCTCAGGCTCAAAGTGATATTGCAGTATGAGCTGTTGGGAGACCTCTAATGCTGCCTTTGACAGACTGAGAAAATTTTCTCGGCAAGAAGCGTAAAATTCGTTTTCATGCCTTTGCTGTTCCCACTGGCGAAGCTTACTGTCTCGAAGCTCGGGTAACGACATTCTGTGTCTGCTCTTGGACCGCTGCAACCGAGATCGCGTAGTTTCTAAGGCCATACTGGTCCCGTGAGACATTGCAAGTTGGTGATCAAGGGTGTTGATCTCAGGAAGGTTGAACTTGAAAGGAGGTATCACTTCCTCTAGTGATGGCAGTTTCGGCGATTCAGGCGACCGGCTATAGATACTGGAAGCATCATCCTTCGATACGAAGGGATCGGACATGTTGACAGGAACGTGTGAGCTGTGAAATCGGCTGTGATGACTCTTCTTACTGGAAATTATATATGACAAATTCATTCGTGCGCAACTGTAGGAATGGCCACCTTATTGTGAATGCCATGGTTATTTTTCAGGAGACCATCATCCAGTTAACTTGCTTCTAATCACCTTGCCTCATAGAGGTCGTATAATGATCCGCTGACAGTCATGCTTGAACGTTCAGAAAACTTACGGTCTGTCTTGGTTTGGGCAAAACTGTGCTGGGAAGCGAACTGAGTTTAAATTTCAACATGTAAATAATTCATGCATTGTACGACTACAGCAATGGCACAAGACTCACTCGAACCCCAACAAATCTATTATGTTCCTGACAACACCGAGCCCCTCAAGAACCGTTACTAGCGCAAACATATTCGTTCTAGATATCCGACTAACATCCGACAAACCATCCGATAGAAGAAGCAGTGGAAGTGGAAACTCAGATAGCGTATCCTCGGTATAGAGAATGTGTAAAGATGGAAGGTTCCATGCAGAGATTCCGTCCAAAATGTACAGATGACCGTAGCTTAACTTGGTGGTGTGAGGATTGAGTGTAGTCATTGAACCACTTAGATATACAACATCATTCGTAAACGGTATCTTATAATTACTATCTCTTATGAAATGCTGGAACGGGCACACTAAAATGCGGTGTCTTTACTAGGTCAGTTTTCGGAGGCCAGACTTGCCCTGGTAAGACAATTCGAACGGAGTTTCCACAACGACTCACGAAGACTCACAACCGCCTCCTCTTTTCCCCAAGGGGGGTTTCGGCGAATGCGATCCGCCTCTTGGTTCCACGGCGACAGAAGCATTGTCTTGTAGGCGGCCAGGCATTAGTCCGGTGATCTGAACGGCCAAAGGAACTCTGCACTTGTTGCTCATCCAAGAGCTTTTGAACGGATTTAGGAAAGCCTCCCAGTCGCGTCTGAGACTCGGTATTTCCAACTTGGATTGTGAGGGTTTCCTCGAGACTAGTGACCGTGAATGATACTTTCTTGCGATAGTATCCACAGTCATGACAGCCATTGTCCTCTCCAATTGAACCCAGAGGCCCTTGACGGTCAATCTGGAACTCTGCGCCCGGGATTTCAGCAAGAATCCGACCGATCATCTTCCGAGGTTCTGTGCTCCTGCAGAGGATTGAACCATCACAGAAGATCATCCCCTGTTTCACCGTTGGACATCCATCAAGTTCGAAGAATAATGTCCCTGTCACCAAGACGGCCCGAACTAACTCATCTGACACACTGAATGATGACTCAGCCAACTCATCCAACTTTTCCACGTCGTCCAACCACGGAAGCGGTCCGTGGAGCAATTGATTCACACGGTAGATGTCCGCCCGCATGTGGCTGGAAACATAGTTCAGCGCCTCGAGAAAGGCCTGCTCACCGTCCATGGAGGGGGACGATACGGTGGCTCGAATCAAGCGAGCAACGGCCCCGTCCTGCAAGATGCCACCTGGCCCCTTGTGGCGGGGCTGTTGGTCCGGCGCTGTATACCCCGTGCCCACTGAAACCAGCAGATCGGGCTTGTTTCGACCAGGCCAGATAAGAGTGGACTCTTTCAGGGCGATCGACAGCGGGTTGTTCGCTCGTACTCCTCCGTCTTGCAGCGGGCCGAACCCAGGGAGGTTTTTAGTTCGGAAAAACCTAGATGTATCAGCGTTGTCCGCAACTGGTCCGTTTTGCTCTTACCCTGGTGCAGCCACGCTACATCGTGCACTAGAAGACAGTCAGATTGATTCTACCCATGATAATGGCCTCACAGAAATAGAGGTGATCACGTACACTTCCCACAATAATGGATTTTCATCTTGGCTTCGAGGAATCAAGAATTCGTACGCCGACATCCCCGTATGCCGACCAATGCCACGGTAGTTGGCCACCAGGCAGGCTTTTCCGTCCGAGATTCGGCTGGCAATGATCGCTACCCGACTCCTGGTGCCGCATGTTGTTTCGACGTCAAAAATTCTGCGATCCGGCCCTAACGCAGCCTTCAGGGTTTCATCTAGCATATGATCATCATACTTCCCATCCAGGAGAAGACGCTTCAAACTAGAGATCCAGACTAGGCATTTGAGAGCTTGAACCGGCTTTGCTGGCTGCTGGAAAATCTTTCGTGCGAGGTCGGGGAATCGGCGGAAACTGCTGTCTGCGGTAGAATGGTTGAAGACCAAGTCCATGATATTCAAAGCCCCTAGGGAGAGTGTCAGGAAAACGCGACTCAAGGCCAGCTCAGCAACAGCGAGGCAAACTGAAACTTCGAACATACCCACACTGGTGCCTACGCACAAGTCAAATACTCCTGTCAGAAGATTCCCACCCGACCGTTTCTCTAAAGACCGAAGCAAACCAAGCTGCTCAATTCCACGAATGCCGCCGCCGTCGAGGCTCAATATATTCGGCCCTTTCGTTGGTGGCACCTGTCGCACTGCCAGATGAGCCTCGGCTCCGCACATCGGGCACTGTATGACCTCGAAGTAGTGCTCCGCGGCTGAGCTTTTGGACCCAAGTATTACCACGCAGTTGTCGCATATCGCATGTCGACAAGCCAACATATGTTCCGGTGCCCGGGTCAGGCAGAAGAAGCAACTGGTGGAGGAGTACAAGCCTCCCCACCGTCGGTGAAATCTGCTTAGGACGCGTCGTCGAACAGCCGCAGATGGGGTTACTGGATCGGTTGATTTGAAAAGATCCGTGAAGCTAGCCAGCACTCCATCGCAAAACTCGGACGGGCTCACACCAATACTCTGCGTAGTCCACGCAGCTGTACAGTCACTTTCGTACAGCGCATCAAAGACGTGGTTTGGATTGAAAGCTGAGATTGTCAGCCAAGAAAGCCAGAAAGCTAGAGACATGCCGGCCATGGGATGGGCGAGGTAGGGTCGACAAGTAAGGGAATGGGCAGACTCATAATGCATCCCTGGCGGATAGGCGTCTATCAAAATGGCCGAAGCGACAAACGTATTAACATCCTCAGCCTCGCAACCGATTTTCTGAGCTTGCCTCAAGAACTCCACAATGCATGACTTTCTACTCAGCGGTGATAGATAATTCTTTCGCGCTACGCGGAGACAATCAAACGCTGCAGTGTCTAGTCTTCGCATCTTGGTTTCCAAGTTGCTTTTCCAGAGTGCACAAAGATGAGTAGCAGAGAACAGCACTCTATCCTGTGT